CTGGGTGTTTTTTTTTTTTTTTTTTTTTTTTTTTTTTAAGGGAGACTTTTGATGACAGCTTCTATTTCCCTGGGGAGTGTAGGACTATTTAATCTATTTACCTGATCTTGATTTAATTTTGGTAAATGGAATCTATCAAGAAAATTGTCCATTTCATTAGAATTTCAAATTTTGTGGCATATAGGCTTTTGTAGTAAGACCTAATGATTGTTTGGATTTCCTCAGTGTCTGTTGTTATGTCCCACTTTTCCTTTCTTACTTTGCTGATTGGAAAGTTTCTCTCTGCCTTTTAGTTAGTTTGGCTAAGGGATTGTCTATCTTGTTGATGTCCTAAAGAACCAGCTCTTGGTTTCATTGAATCTTTGAAATTTTGCTTTGTTTTTAATTATTGATATCATCCCTGAGTTTGGTTATTTCCAGCTGTTTACTCCTCTTGTGTGTGGCTTCTTTTCCCCTAGGGATTTCAGGTGAGCCATTAAGTTGTTTGTATGAGATGTCTCAAACTTATTTCTGCAGGCACTTAATGCTATGAACTTTCCCCTTAGCACTGCTTTCATTGTGTCCCATAAGTTTGGGTAAGTTGTGCCTTCATTTTCATTGGATTTTAGGGTCTTTTTTTCATTTCTTCCCTGACCAAGCTGTCATTGAGTAGAGAGTTGTTTAGTTTCCATGTGTATGTAGGCTTTTTTCTATTTCTGTTGTTGTTGAGGTTTAGTTTTAGGCCATGGTGGTCTGATAGGATACAAGGGATTATTTTGATCTTCTTGTATCTGTTGAGTCTTGATTTGTGCCTGACTATATGGTAAATTTTTGATAAGGTTCCATGAGGTGCTGAAAAGAAGGTATACTCTTTTGAATTTGGGTGAAAAGTTCTGTAGACATCTATTAGGTCCATTTTATTTAGGACCTCTGTAAGTGACATTATTTTCTTATTTAGCTTCTGTCTAGATGATCTGTCCCTTGGTGAGAATGGAGTGTTGAAGTCTCCCACTATTAAGGTGCTGAGATCGATGTGTGATTTCAGCTTTAATAATGTTTCATTTACAAATGCAGGTGCTCTTGTATTTGGGGCTTAGATATTTGGGATTGTGATATCCTCCTGTTGGATTTTTCCTTTGATGAGAATGAAGTGCCCCTCCTCATCTTTTTTGATTAATTTTGGTTGAAAGTCTATTTTATTAGATATTAGAATAGCTACCCCAGCTTATTTTCTGGGTCCATTTACTTGAAAAACATTCTTCCTGCACTTTTCTCAAGGTAGTGTTTATTTTTTGCTGCAGAGGTGTGTTTCTTGGATGCAGCAGAATATTGGATCCTGTTTCTGCAAACATGCTGTTAATGAGTCCGTTGATGTTGATAGATAATAATGACCAATGAATGTTAGTTCCTTTTATTGTGGAGTTGGTAATGTTACTGTGTTTCAGTGCTTGTTATCTTTTAATTTTTTGTTGTTGTTGTGAAGTTGCTTATATCCTGTGTTTTCTTGGGTGTAGCTGATTTTGTTAGATTGGAGTTTTCCTTCTAGTATCTTCTGTAGGGCTGGGTTGTGGTGTAGATATTGTTTAAGTTTAGTTTTGTCATGGGATATTTTGTTTTCTACATTTATGTTGATTGAAAGCTTTGCTGGGTATAGTAGTCTTGGTTGGCATCTGTAGTCTCTGAGAATCTGCATGATATCTGTCCAGGCCCTCTTGACTTTTGTAGTTTATGTTGAGAACTCGGTGGTGATTCTGATAGGTCTACCTTTAGATGTTACTTGGCCTTTCTTCCTTGCTGCTTTTAATATTATTTCCTTGTTCTATAGATTTAGTGTTTTGACTATTATGGGACATGAGGAGTTTCTTTTCTGATCTATTCTATTTGGTGTTCTGTAAGCCTCTTGTACATTTATGGACATCTCTTTGTTTTTTTTTCCTCTTTTTTAATTATTATTATTATTAATTACACTTTATTCATTTTGTATCCCCCCATCCACCCCTCCCTCCTCCCCTCCCGATCCCACCCTACCTCCCCTTTCTGCATTCATGCTCCTCCCCACGTCCACTGATAGGGGAGGTCCTCCTCTCCTTCCTTCTGATCTTACTCTATCAGATCACATCAGGAATGGCTGCATTGTCTTCTTCTGTGGCCTGGTAAGGCTGCTCCCCCCTCAGGGGGAGGTGATCAAAGAGCAGGCCAATCAGTTTATGTCAGAGGCAGTCCCTCTTCCCATCACTATAATGGACATCTCTTTAAATTGGGAATTTTTTTCTATGATTTTCTTGACAATATTTTCTGGATCTTGGAGCCTGGAATTTTTTTTTTTTTTTGGTCTATTTCTATTATTCTTAGATTTTATCTTTTCATGGTGTCTTTGATTTCTTGGATGTTTTGTTTTGGGACTTTTATGATTTTACTTTTTCTTTGAGAGATGTATCAATTTCTGCAATTGTATCTTCAGCACCTGAGAGTCTCTCTTTTATCTCTTTTATTCTGTTGGTGATTCTTTCCTTTGTGATTCCTGATCTTTTCTCCATGTTGTCCAGCTCCAGGATTTTCTCTGTTTGTGTTTTCTTTATTGATCCAATTCTGTTTTCATGTCTTGCACCATTTTCTTCATTTGTTTCCAAAAGAATCTTGATTCATTGGAGTAATGTACAATAATATTTCCCTTCAACAGTTATTTTTGATGCCGTGTCATGTCATATATGCAAGACACTCTGCTCTGTAGAATTCTATCTACGCAGCAATTTTTCACACAAATTAACAGAGAGTTTCTCTCACCCCATCATAGCATTACACCACTTCCTTTAGCTTTAATCAAGTATGTCGTCCGCCCCTTCAATGCATGTTTTGTTCTTTCTTAATTTTGAGAAGAAATATGACAGTAATCCCTCAGAAAGCAGGAGCTCTTCGCTAGCTTGGTTGTAGTACACAGCTTGTTAACAATTCCCAAGTTGTCTTGCTCCCTACACTGTAGAGAGAGCTGTCAGGAAGACAGTAAAAGCTGACCTAGAGTTTCACAGTTCTGTCAGCCCAGAATATTTAGGGTGAGTACAAGTCCAGCAAAGAATACAGAATTGAGCCCTTTGAGGACAGCATTGCTTTCTCCAGAACTTTGTGAGGTGCTGGCCTTGTTCACTCTTTCCAAGGATACGGAAAACAAGTGGGGAATCTTGCATGTTGTTTATAGTCTTCTATGAATGAGCTATATGCTTTTGAAAGTTAGGAATTTGGGGGAGATGAATCCATTATGCTTTGGTTCATTCACTGATTAATTTGATCAATGTTATTGTTTACTTTGCACCAACTATTGAGCTGGGTACTTTGTATACCAATCCTAGCTTTAAGAATCATGGATGAGGAGAAGGAATGAGGAGGAGGAGCAGAGGAATGAGGAGGAGGAAGGGAATAAGGAGGAGGAGGGGAATAAGGAGGAGGAGGAGACTGATGCCTTCAGATAGTCACATGGATAGTGCAGAGATACACACCATGGAAGAGCTCTTATATAGGGAGAGTGACCTAATTAGGAAGGTCAGGCAAGGCCTTCCAGAGAAGCAATGATCTTGTAGTATCTGAGGAATGGGTAGAAGTTTGTTATGCTTAACAAAGCAGGAGGCAGTTACATGAGCAGAGGAAACAGTATGTATTCAGCTTCAACCCCCCGAGAACTTGTTGCCACAGCTTATTGCAAAAGCTTTAAGATGTTAAAATAAATGCTAAGAAGGAAAGTTAGTTCAGAGGTTAAGCTGCTGATTAAAGAGGTGAGTGCTGGAGGGAAGAAAGAAAAATTACATTCAGGAATTCAAGTCTTCTGTAATGTAGTTTCATCTGAGCTGATCCTGTTACTTTAGGAAACTAATTAACCTCTCTGTGTCCTGGTTGCTTATCTGCAGGGTGGAGATAATGGACCCACTAACAGCAATGAAAAGCATTCTGTAAACATCAACAATTATGTGATTAATATAAATATTGTGTATTCTGTTGTGAAATATAGCCCTTAACTCAGAATTTTTCTCTGGCTATGTGGTACTTGGATTTTAACATTGTCTTTTGTGTAAGAGATTGAGCTTGTGTTAATCTTCATATACAGCCACATTTTTGCTCACTGACAAGACATTCTCTCATATGCGTTTTCAGTCAGTAGCATCCTGGATCCTAGACAACAGAGTTTCTCACGAACAGTAGATGGTTTATCAAAGGCCTGGGGCAAAAAGCACAGAAAAAAAGTAGGTGGAGTGGGATGAGGTAGGCTGGAATGAGATTACTTTGACTTCCTTTTAAATAACAATTCTTCCTGCCTGTTACAGAAGAAGTTTATGTTTTATTGTTTCATACACACATTGCAATTACCTTAATGTAGCTAAGCAATTCAGATTGAACCAGCAGGCTCCTAACACCATGCCAAGCAGCAAAATGAAGATGCTCCCAGCTTATCACGCTCTCTCTCCCTCTCTCCACCCCCGTGTGGGTGTGTGGTGTGCATTCATAGATTCACATTTAAATTGGTATCATTTGTGATGTTCAAGTCATTTGATGCACAGTACTTGTAAGACTATTCCTCAATGGCAGACAGATGGCCGGCTTCTGCAAATGTCTTTGGTTTTCATGTTGCTCTTTCTCTAGCAAAGAAAATCATTATCTTCTGGAATGTTAAGATATTTACAGAATTGAAGCAGTGATTTCTTCCTGCACTTGGAAAAATTATCTTTGTTAAAAAATACATGTCTAATAAGTATGTGGTCTGCCTCCATGATGATAAGGTGCAGTGCTTGAGTGAGTGGGATTTGGCCACTGAATGGCTACTTGGACATTGGTTGGTGTCCATGGCTGGCAAACAAGGGTGATGAAGTACTAAATGGAGCTAATGCTCCATTTCTAGTCCAGTTTCCTGGCTACGATTCTCCCGCGGCTCGCTTAACCTTTTGTTTAGCTGAAGAGAGAAATAAAAATTTACCCCCTCATCCCTACTGTCTAAATGAAGTCTCCAACCTGTGCTGTGTGCTTCATGGAGTTCTTACCTGGCTGGTTTTTCTTTCCTAGTCCTGGTTTGCTCTATCTCTGACATCCTTCCCGTGAGTTCTTCCGAACAATCAGGGTCAGGACTTGTGGTGAAGTCTCTGAGGGAGTTTTTCTCAGTGTTGTTGTCTATGGCAAAAAAAAAAAAAAAAAAAAAAAAAGACACTAAATAGAAGAACACACATGACTCTTAAATCTTCTGAGAGGACTCCTTACACAGGAGGTCTAACTTGGAGATACCATCAGGCCAATGAAAAGCACACTGAAAGTTTGTTTATTATATGATAAAAAATTCACATAGCACATGCTTCATGATACTAACAGAATGCAGGATGAGCTCTCAACATCCAAAAGGCATTGTTGGTTTTGTGATCGTACTCACAATTCATGCTAAAATTAATCCATAATAGATTCAGTGAAGTGAAAAAAGGCTGTTGTTTTATGTCCTTAGCATTAGTTTAGAATTCACACTCTAATTTTTACAAAATCAAATTTCTTAGTTTGACTTGATTATTTGTAGCTTTGAAATCCTTTCTATAGAAATAATACCAACTAGCTCTATTTTCAATTCAGAAATAATTTTTACATCAGATATACAAATATAATTTCTAATTAAGATTAAATATTTGCTATTTGCTTAGACAATAACAACTCATTGGTAAATATTTGAATCATAGAGAGGGTTTTAAAGAAAGTAAATAATTGAATATTAAAAAATATGAAAGGTAAAAAGAAAACACATATTTGAGTGATTATTTATTATCCATAGTGTCCAGTTTACTTTTAAGCAGATGCACTGTACTTACAAATAGAAAACAAGATCCAGTCATCAATATCATTTTAATGCAAGAACCAGATGTGGTGGGTGTGGGGAGCTAGGGTTGAGGGAGGTAATTCAGGGAGAGAAAGCGAGAACTGAGGGGTGCTTGAGGGGTGGGATGGAAACCTTCCATCCCAGTGTGAACCTTCCAAAATTAGGAGATGACCCTAAAGAACTCTCCACATAATGGGGGTGGCAGAGTCCATGACTGGCCATGTCTTATCACCAAACGAAGCTTCTAGTTCTGGGACTGGCTTATGTGCAAATGAATTGTTGGCTGAAAGGGTCCCAGGGACATCCCCAAACAACCTACACTGTTGCCAAGACAATAGGTTGCTCTCCACAAACTGACAGCCAGGCTCCATTGTGTAGGTGACTACAACACACACACATCACACTGAACATCTAGAGATAGAGCTGGTGCCTGCGTAGGGCCTGCAGCTTAGTCTATTTGGTTTGGGAAGGTACTCTGTAGGCTACCAAAGGAGAAATGTGAACACTAGCCGAGCCACAAACCCTTTGGTCTACAGTGGTATCTTCCAAGCAGCACATGCTAGGTCAATCTTGGCACAACACTTGTGGGAATAACCAACCAGCCAATACTTGATGTTACTTAAGGCCCACTCCATGAGCTGGAATCCATATCTGGTACTGGGTGGCCAAAAACCAGAGACTAGAGAGCCAAGAGATCAAGAGCAAAATGCAAAATGTAATTGCAATATTCTGCCATACTCATAGATCAATACCTTACTCAGCTGTCATCAGAGAAGCTTCATCCTGGAGCAGATGGCAACAAATACAGAGACTCACAGCCCAACAATATGGAGGGAGGGAAAGGGGAGAGAGAGAGAGAGAGAGAGAGAGAGAGAGAGAGAGAGAGAAATTGGAACACAGTTCGAAATGAGATGACTTCATCAAATCCCCCTCTTCGGAGCTCAGGGTCCCCTCCAGAAGAGGAGGTAGAAAGAGTGTAATAGCCGGAGGGGATGAAGGTCACTAGGAAAGGAAGGCCTTCTAAATCAGCTGAGCAAAGCTCATTTGAACTCATAGATACTGAAGCAGCAAGCACAGGGTCTGAACAGGTCTTCAACAGATTGTGTATATATTATAGCTTTCAGTTTAAAATATTTGTGTCATTACTGAGTGTATGAATGAATGGGTCTCTGAATCTTGTACCTTTTCTTGGACTCTTTTCCTTGTGTTGGTTTGCCTTGTCCAACTTCAAAGTGATGTTTTTTTTTATCTTATTATATTTTATTTTGTTAGGTTTTGTTATCACTTGGAAGCCTCTTATTTTCTAATGAGGGTCAGAAAGAGAGTGGGTCTGGATGGGAGGAGAGATGAGTAGGAACTGGGAGGAATAGAGGGAGCAAAAACTATAACCAGGATATGTTGTATGAGAAAATAATCTATTTTCAATAAAAGGCAAAAACAAAAAAGTAAAGGTAGACCATCTTAATATTAGACATTTAGATGTATAAAATTGACAAAACAGGAGTGATCACAGTGTAAAAATTTTCATTATAAGGCCTTTAACATGAAAATTTTAATGATTCTTTAAAAATCTTTCAATACAACAAGCCTTCAGAAATATGTTTTAGGAATAAAAGTTGAGACGCTTCTTACTATTTCTAAAAGTTTGTGTTAAGAAAGCTTTAGTTCCTGACTTTTCCAGGCGACTTCTTTTATCCTGGATTTATAGTAGTTTCCTACAAGATAGAAAACACAGTACTAAATGTATTCTCATTATATATAAGTGGACTCCCTCAAGTGTTTTACACTGTTTTGAGTACTAAAGAACACTATTGTAATTACAGCATTAAAGTCTGCATAAGGACAGTCTTCTAGATGAAGTATTGAAATATGTTTGAAATCTTCCCCCAAATTGCAGGCAGCATGTTCTCTGTCAGCATACATGTACAGAATGTTAATTAGTTTATCAGTAGCCAATAACTTTCAGAGTAAAAGACTTTCAGTGGTATTGAATTGTGTTTTCTAGAAACACGGGAGAAGGATCTGTGCTCCCTAAGTGTTTATATCAAGGCATCTTTTGTTTTTTTCTTTATCCAACAAAAGAATGATTTTTCCCTCATATCTCCAATGCCATGTCATTGTATTCTAGTTACCTAAAAATGTGGTAGCCTATCCTTTCTCACACTAACGCAGATAGTGTATATTTCAAAGCTGAATTCTTAGTCTTTATCTATGGATGTCTAGTGCATTTATAGACCAAAATCCTGGAGACTACACACACACACACACACACACACACACACTCACAAAGAGGGAGGAAGGAAAGGAGAGAGAGAGAGAGAGAGAGAGAGAGAGAGAGAGAGAGCCTAGAGTTATTTTTGGCTTCTCATAGGAATCTGGACTAAATAGTGGCTATGGATCATTGCAATTATAAAACTTTGTAGGAACACCTCTTTTAAAAGAAAAAAAGAAAAGCATGTTTAAAATTGACCATAAAATGACTTTAAAAAGTTCTGAATATATAGACCAAGGAGTATCTGTAAAACAGCATGACTTTTATAGACTACTTATTTTCTAATTAAAGTTTTATTTTTATTTTTGGTGTGTGTGTGTCTTTGTGAGTATATGCTACAAGTGTGCCTATGGAGGCAGAAGTGGTCTTTAGATCACTTGGAGGTAGAGTTACTGGTAGTTGTGAGTGACATGGGTGTTGGAAGTTGATCTGGTGCCTCTGGAAGAACAGCAGGCACTCTTAACCAGTAAGTCATCTTGTTTGCTTCTGACTCTTTCTTATAATGCCTCATAACTATCTGCTGTATTATATACTTTTATATCACATGTACATTTTCAGTATGTGTTTATGCCAGCAGCAATTACATGATTTTTTTTCTTTCTTTCAATAAGGTACTTAAATTTCATCTTCAGTACATTTTGAATTACTCTTAAGGAGATCCTAGTACCTTGGCCTATCTTCCGGGGCTACTACCACATCCTTCTAAAAGGACACCAATTCTATAACAACTCTAAGAGATTTCAGAGTTAATTAAAGTCAAATTCAACCTGTGGCTACACCATTAATTATAAGACAAGTACTTAATAGTTTGTTGATGAAGATGAGAAACCAGTAGTGTCTGTTTTTGGATTCAAAGTAGAACAACCAAGAGGATTAAAACAAAAGGACACTAATCAACTGTGGTTCAGTGATAAGTATATACAGTCTCTTTTTATCCACACAGCATGTTATGTTGTGAGAACAGATAAGAGTGTTTACACCATCCTCATGACAGAGAAATAGAAAATACAAGGTAAATATTGCTCTCAAACCTAGGTGAATTTTGTCAGTTACAAGCAAGCTTGTCCTCAGCTTCTCACATGGACAACAGGGTCATACGGAGAGTGTAAGTCTTCCTGTTATTAGACATGATGTCACCATTGCTCCAGCTCATCAGTGCTTCCTCACATCCTGATCCTGAATGTGTGTCCGCTGCAGATACTGAAACATAGAATCGACGTGATGTGGCCTGGTTGCCTTTGCCGAATGTGTAAAAGTTAGTGCTATTGAGTTTGCCCTAGAGACACTTGTCCTCAGGTGGGCAGTGTGTCACAGTGGGCTTATGTAATACTCTTCCAGTTTGCCTGGGCCTGGCACAACAGTGCATCATGGAGATTAGGACAGATGTGAGACATCTGCTTGTCTTTTCAAGTCAGAGAGTAAGTGATTGAAAAGACATTAACCTTCTGCATTTTATCAGTAGCATTAACTAAATTTTAGGAGAGAAAGAATTCAAGGGAAAACCTATTTTGGAATAAAATTTCAATTACAAAGGTACTCAATTGGTTTTCTTTTGTATGCATATGAAAACAGAAAATTTGAAATGCTTTCATCGTTGGAAGGTTTATCACAGATTATTTCTTTTGGTTAAAAAAAATTCTAATTGTAGAATACCAAATATATAGTGGATTCTGTCTCAAAGACAAATCTTTCATTGAGAACTAAAAATAGGGTGTGGAGAAATGGCTCAGGAGTTAGGAGCTCTTGCTGCTCTTGCAGAGGATTCTGGTTATTCCTCAGTATCACTCACAGGCAGCTGCTAACTTCTTGCCATCCTGGGTCAGGGGATCAGATGCTCTCTTCTGTGTGTTCATTTGTACTTGCTCATACATACATGCACACACACACACACACACACACAGAGAGAGAGAGAGAGAGAGAGAGAGAGAGAGAGAGAGAGAGAACCACAAGCAAAAACAACAAAATTAATGTTAGAGTGAAGGAGAAAAAGAAAGGGGATGTTGTTGAGTGGGTGGGGAGTTGGGGGGATCTGGGGGTAGTTAG